AAGCTCAAGTTAGAATTCTTAGGCAAGATAAAACCAGATGGCGCAAAGTTCACGTACCTTGTTCTTGGGGGGTAGGGAGCCTTTTATAGCCACCTCGTGCACTCACTCCTAAGCTTCTGTCARGTCGGGTATGATTGCCTCTGGGCTCCTGCCAGTTCGGGTGTCATCCCCTCTACTGGACAGAACCGCCACTGCTCCCTTTTGTCAGAGCCGTCTCTGCGACTGGCGATGACGGTGGCAGGTAACCGTTGAATTGTGGCTATCAAGCGTCAGATCCCAAGTTAGTCAGGTGCGCCGCCCTTGGATACGGACCTCCTCGGTGTCAGGTATTGTACGTTTGTTCAGTTCGGCGTCCTGGAGGCGAAGTGTTGGAGTGGCGAGCGAGGTGAAGTCTTGAGTTCGGATAGGGGAGTGTCCCGAACTGCTATGAGGCGGGCCAGTTCGGGTCATTGCCTTGTGTGGTTCGGGGCCTAAGGGAGAGTTCGGGCTCCTAGTAGGGAGTTCGGGCTCCTCGTAGGGAGTTCGGGCTCTTAGTAGGGAGATCGGGCTCTTAGTAGGGAGATCGAGCTCCTCGTAGGGAGTTCAGGCTCCTAGTAGGGAGTTCGGACTGCTGGTTTCCTCCCTTTGGTGCTTGCGCCCTGGGTGCGCTGTTGTGCCGATTTGTTTGCCTATGCCACGTGTTGAGTGATTACGAGGTCGGGCCAAAAACTCTGGCATCTCTTTTATGTTCTCCAATGGATTTATGTTACCAACTGTGGAGGGTTGTACTGTGATTTCAGAAACTGTCATTTGATTGATGCAGTTTAAAATGTTGTAGATAGGCAATTATATTAGATGATGATGATAATAATAATAATAGTCTATTTTATCTGTTAGTTGTATACATCATACCTTGTACAGGGGGCGATAAACCTGGGTGTTTTGTTTTCTCCATCATTTTTCCTCTCTGGGGGCTTATTCTTCTCCGAGACTACTTTAATGCTGAAATGCTTCCCCCATCTGGAATTTTATCATGGTGCTATCTGAAATTTAACCATTTTTGTTTTCCATGGGAAAACAATAACGTGTCAAAGGATTCTCATGTAATCATGTCATCAGACTTATTGGAAAGAGCCATTGTAATTAGAAATTATCAAGGTTATGTAATACTCAATTCGAATTAAGTTCATTGAATACCCAATTAGAATTTTTACCTTAAATTTTATCCATATTTGTATTTGTCAAGTCTCATGTGCACTTTTTGTGGTTGGGTTCAGGGCAGTGAATTCAGATTGGTTTTTAACTGTTTTTAGGGTCCCGAGTATTTCTGAAGGTGAGATGGTTTTGATGGTTGAGGGCCTCGCGGTCGCTTTGTCCATTTGTCTTCTGTTACAGTAAAGTTTTTAACTTTTTAGGGCCTTCTATAGGGTCCAAGCAGCCTGGGCTGTTTTGAAGCCTACTGTGCATGACACGTACCCCCATTTCGTTAGTCTTTTGAATTAAAAGAATGTTGATTTTAATTACTTTTTTACCATAACCCATGCTAACTTGTCATGCACACAGCTTCAAATTTCTCCTTGTTAGAACTTTGACGGTGGACCATTCTATCCCGTTGGATCCAAGTATCCAACAGTCTCATCAGAGCTTTTCTACTTGGATCAATTTTATTTATTTATTTGTTATCTATACTCTATATAACATGTTCAAGTTCGAGCGGGGGGCTTTACATCCCCTTGATCCAATACGGAACTCATTTATGGATTCATTTCGTAGTTCGTTCTTGGACGTCAAATGGTGATGATAATTTAAACTAAAATGCCAGAATGCCATCTCTTGTAGGGTAAGATTCCATTATCTTGAGAGTTGAGACAGAAAAGTCAGCCACGAGAGGGGGAAGATCCGCATAAGCCACTCTGAGAAAGTGAGAAGCCATCCAGGAAGATAATTGAGATCCCAGAGGACGCCGGGAACAGGAAGTGCCTTATAGGCTATCACAAGAACTACTCTATTTTGATGTCAAAAGAAAAAGATATGATGGAAGCATAGATTTACAAAGTCCTGAACCAAGGGCCTGATATCGTCGATGATAGCAGAGGGAGGGACATGAGGTGTCTTCATATGGCCAGACCCATACCAAACGCCAAAGCTTCTGCTAGAACTGAACTACAGGACACCGTCTAATGATGAAATTGAATAATCCCACCATTGTGATCCCTGATGATTGAATAATCCCACCACTGTCAAAGGATGCATCAGAGTTTAGATTTATAAAGTTCTCGGGCCCCTCCGGCCAGATTGTTATTTAACAAATAAAAAAGTGTTGTATCAATCACAAAAAAGCGACATGAAGTCATGTATGCGGTGGCATTGGTCCTTGGGATAATGGGATACAATTTTGATTTGTGGGTGAAATAAGTATTTGCAGGATTGATTTTTAAACTTGAAATCTGATTCTCCAATGAAACTAATGCTTGCTTTATATTTCGGCATGTCTGACACAAGTACGATACCAATACGGCAATACCCTCCATTAATTACAATTTGATATCCAATGTCGTACTCGCACGGATTCTATGTGCGCATGCCCAAGTGCTGGATGGTGTCTTGTATGACATTGCATACGCATATAAATGTCAACAAGAGCTCCAGTGCCTTGAAAACCATTTTTTTATAATACTTGATGTATATCTTAAACCTTTCTACGATGAAAGCTACACTCTAACAAATTAGATGGGGCTGTAATAAGAATTGAAATGTTTCAAATTTAAACGTGTTAGTGTGTTTGGTCTATCTTGTGATATGCTACTTTTAATTTTAATCTTCCGAACATGGCATACTTTCAACAAAATAGGTTTTCAAACTCGCCCCACAGATATATTTAACATCAAGGATTCAGGGTTTCTTGGTTAAGAATTAAGTGTGGGAGTTTTGGAGCAACCAGTCTACAATGTAATACGACGGGTGGCTTGATTGGTATGTTAGCTGGTTCGCTCTCTACAATGTATTTTCTTCATGGGTCTTATCATCTAGCGTTTGTTGGAACTGCAATCAGGGATTTATAGAAGAAAAGATCAACATTGGATCCAGACGATATGGAACAGATGCTCGGCTTGAGGACCAAAGATTTATGAGCACCGCACAAATTGTTTCAGCCAAGAGTCTAGATGGGATGGATGATGATCATGTAGAACAGATATTTGCCACTTGTAATTTCTAATCCGACAGTAACCAATTTTCGTCAATATCTCCATATGATGATAATTAGGTATTTAATATTTGTTCATTCTTCCCTCGTCAAACCCGTGCAGCTTTTGTTCATGGCCTAACTCGTTATATTGTTTCTGATTCATCCCCTCTTTAAGGCAATGGAATACTGTCCCACTGGCTGTTGTGTACGAGTGTATTATTTCTATCTTCAACATAATCTTTGTGTGGTTTTCGGCAGATGCAAGAGGACGGGAATTCATGGAAGTCACCTCGTCCTGGTCTCATTTCCTCTGGTTCTCCCATGAAACCTCTCTGGCATGATTTCACCTTCATGGCAAATGTATCCCAGTCCATCTTCTGCCTCATCATGAACAGCGAACGCAGCTTTTTTGCATTGGGTCTGATAGTCCTTTTGTGCCCCATGTACCTCCTATGATCCATGACATGGAACAAAAAAAATTAATAAAATGAACTAGGATGACCTAGCAACGAAGAGGAACGAACCACTAGAATCCCAAAATTGAAGACGAACATGCAGTACATATAAATTCAAATGGTTCCGTGATAATTATAAAAAAAAAATTATACCAAATGCAAGTGTCCATGCAAACTTAAAAGGCATCCACTCTTGCCAGTAAGAGAGGTCTCCATGGTGGTAAAATTGTGATAGTTCCATGACCATGAATGCCAAAATATTTTAGATGGGTCCTTGGGTGACCTCCTAGGTCTTGCTTCCTATACCTTATTGTCCCCAGTCACTTATGACAGTGCCCACTAGCTCTGGTGGGAGAATTGTTGCATGGTGCCAACTGGCTGGTTAGTAAGGTCTCCTGTTGGTTGTAGTGGAGACTTGGGATCAAATCCCGTCTGATGGGATTACAAAGTAAATGTTTAGTAGAATTAGTAATGGGTTATTAGAAGTTCTCGTTCTTCCTAATTTCCTGTTTATTCTTCAGTTGTTAGCAAGTTCTTTGCCTCATCCTTAATCACTAAAATCACCTCCATGAGGAACTCCTACATGTGCTGCACCATGAATCACTTTTTGCTATGCACCTTGTGTTTTGTTGGACTATTAATTGTAGACCTCCTTTCTTAGATAACAAACTTCACCCCGGCCTATCAAACTGATTGAACCCTCTACTACATGCAAACAGGTATAATACACTTGTTGTGATCTGTACCTATTATTTACCAGCTATTTAAAAAGAATATGAAAGGATACATAGAGAAATAGCAGAGGGCCTTCTTAATGAGGGTAATGTGGTTCCTTATTGACAAGTATCCATGCTTTCAGGTAGTGATGCCCCTCATAGTTTGAAGTAAAAACAATTTTTTGATAGTAAATATAAAAGAAAATTCAAAGCCCACACCCCAAACATTGAAGATTTCCCCATCCCTTTGAGTACAGACTTTAACTCCCCAAAACCTTATTGAACAAAGCAAAATTACACTGTCAAGGCCCAAACAAAACTCAAGACCTGGGGAATTCCCTTTAAGATTTCATAGCAGAAAATAGCCCCATTAACCTTCCCAGAGGGCTCTCCCCTTGCTAACTTTCCTCTCTCAGCACACACTTCTCCAACTCCTGGATTTTTTTCCTCAAATTCTTCTCCTTTGGTAAAACATAATCCCAACAACTTGCTTATTTGGATTTCAGTTTTCACTTTATTATCCAGGTCCATACTCCTTTCCTCACTCGATCAATCTCTATCCTCATTAGCCTCTTCACCTTCTTTCTCTTCCTCTTGTTCAACCTCAGTCCCCCAATCCTCCTCCATATTTGATAAAACATTTTCTTTTTTGGGTAACTGAATCATTTCCTCTTTCTTCCTTCACCTTTTTTCCAGATGAACTACATTTAAAGCTGATTCTTTCACTTTTCTTAGTTCTAGTTTTTCCTTTATCCCCCTCCTTTTATAGTACCCTTTTATATTTACTACAAGGATCAACCTCAATAAGCCCTTCCTTTAAGAGACAAAAAACTTTAGCAACATGAGCCAATTATTGGATTTTTTCAAGTTAACCAAAGAATCATTACTTTTTTTAAAAACTTCAGACGAAACTGCATTTCTTTTCTTTCCTTAGTTCACCCCCAATTTTCATATGAATACTTGGGAAAATGAAACATTGTCCACCTTATCCTCAACGCCACGTCACTTTTGAAAACTTTGAGATTTCGCTCCCTTTTGTTTCCTCAAATGTTCGTTCCTCCCATCTTCTGCAGCTAAAGAGCTCAAATCACTGTCAGATTGCCACTCAATATCCTTTTGGGAATTGTTGGCCTCCAAAACAATCTCCTTTGCCATCTCCTCTCTGAATCCAGCCCCACCTGACTTCCCAAGTCTGCCAAGCAGCTCCCTAGATTCAAGTGCATTTCCAGCATGTTGCCCTCAGGGGAATGGTCACAAGAAATAGCATCTTCTTCTACAACCAATGCCTTCAATTGATCTTTGTACCCAACTTTTCTCCCCCTGCAACAACCCTAGCCTACACCTGGTTATCATTAAAAGATGTCTTGTTCAGGTTGCCACTCACTGCGATTGATCCATCTTTACAAGTGAACCTTGTCATCACCCACTCCCGTGCTTTAAAGTTCCTCTTACCCATTCCTTCAAACTTCCTTGAAAAAAAAACTTTCTGAAAGCTACTACCTTCCTTTTAGTATCCTTGAATACTACCTCTTCTTGAAGTCTCTTCTGTTTGCAAGGCTCTGCTGAGATGCACATAACCTTGTAATCTGTTTTCAGAAAGACGATGATAGATCCAACTTATGATCCATCATTGCATGATACTGCTCCCCTATCTAAAATGCTTCAAGCTAAACAGGCCAATCTCACTCCTATCCTTCTTCCTCATGTGGCAATTTAAGATGTCTTGCGCAGGGAAAGCTCCACTCAAACCAAACACAGTGGCTCATTAAACCTGGATCCACACTTATTTGTTACTCTCTACCACTTGATGTTTGGACACTTTGCACAGTCCTAGAAGTCAAACTGCCACTGGTGAGCACCTAAGCATATGGCCAGGTACACGCCAATCCCCTTTCATTTCTTGACACCAAAGAAAACTCCCTTGTTTGCGTAACTTTTCCTCTGCCCAAGTCTTGTCTTCCCAATCCGCATAAGTGCAATTCACCTTAGAACTATCCACTTATTTCCTGCCAAGTATTATTTCTTCTTCAAACCCTTCGTCTTCCTCTCTGTGAGCATCTCTCCACAAGGTAGCTTCAATGGCTGTTACCAACCATACAGAGAAGCTCATCTGGTCAGAAAGCACTTGGGTCTTCCTTGGGATCTCTTCTGGTTTTACTCCACTCAGGCTAATGGCTGCCAAGTGAATTTGATTGAGAAAATAACCTTGTTTTTTTGAAACCAATATAAAAAGGTACTTCAAAAACAAAAGACATGTTTTCACTTCTATAAGATTGAATAGACTACTATCAACCTTATGACATTGTGGGGCACGTCTACACACACACACACCCAAAATATCTTATATACCTCTTACAAGTGTTAGTTTAAAACTTCTATGGATCATATCAACCCAGATTTAAATGGATTTGGGTCTCAAGTATAAATAAAAACAAAAAAAGAAAGTTGATTTATATCCATTTGATCAGAATCCTTATTTGAATAGTGTATGCTTTATAAAACATACCACAACCAGAGGAAAATACATTTCAGAAACCAGAAATTCAAGAATGCATTTCTGGTTTCTCTTTTAGAATCAAGAAATAAACTACGAGACAAATCACATATTTTCTGTTTTTTGTTTTAAGAATTAATGCCTTTTCAAACCAGGTGTGGGACCTTCATTTTTTACACTCAACAAGATCAATTAAGAGCAAAACGACATAAAAAGGTTAAACTTGTCTTAGGTAAGGACCAAAGTATGGCTTCATGATGTCAACCATATTACCATAGAGAAAAAATAGACTCATATACAGTTGTTAGTGGACAAGAGCCTAGTTCTTTAATCTGGAACAGGTATCTCTCTATCCTAGTGGCTTGTGGAGGAGAAATTAAAATTATAGATGTTTCTGTAAATAATGTAACTAGGTTTCAATTTGGGTAAATTCTTCTTTTCAGTCAAATGTTCAATGAATAGTGATAAAACTAATAATAATACAAGTCAATAAGTTCCAACCAAGAAAGCAATCAGCATATAGGTGAAAAAAAGATAAATAAAAAGTAGTTCTTTTTTATGCTTCATAAAAAAAATAGTTCTGCCTATGAACAATCTTGATTTTCCCAGAAATTTAATTGAATTAATCCATTTTTTTCTCTTTTGTTCAGAAAATAGAGTCTTCATCCAACTATGCAAAAAGTATTCCTTAAAAAAAGAAGTGAACTCATGAGTTTTCTGCCCTTACCTTCGACCTGCAAGAATCTTTGCCATATTCCCATTGTTATTAGTAACAAATACGTCACTCTCATCACAGACAATGTAGTCAATGGCAGCAAGGCGTGACGAGAAGGAAAGAAAAGGTCTCAATTCTTCATTAGCAAGCATCTCCTTCGTGTAAAAGTTTGGAAAGAGGTCTTTAAGGGGCTGCAAAGTCTTTTTTCCACCATATATTTCTCCTGAGGCAACGTAGAGGTATGTATCATTTCTAAAACCAAGTGCCCTCAGCATCAGACCCATTTCCTCAGGGGTAAAAGGACATCTGCCTCGTTTTCCCTCTCCATCAGGGCTCAAAGGCTGTGAATTAAAGGAAACACAATTAATTTTTTTTTCTTTTGAAAAGCAATAACTATTATATTATTTCTTTAGCTGCAGGAAATTGCATTGAAAAATCTGTAATAAGATCAATCTTTTCAGAGTTTGCAAGAGTCAGGAGTTTTTCTTTTCTAATTTTCTTCTGATTCATACAGAGAATTTATAAAAAAAAAGAAGAGAAGATGCAAGTGTCATTTTGCCCTGACAGAAGTGAGCCTCCATTATACCAAAAATTACACAAGGATTTTATCAAGAAATGTGCTTTACAAAATAAATAAATAAAATCTTGACCTACAGGTGTATCCTCAAGAAATGTGACTCATAGAAATAGGAGAAGGATAACATCTCACAGGTAGTGTTGGCCAATGGCTCCTGATTTTAGCAAGCTCGGCTCTTTCCTTGTCACCACCACCATAATAACAACCAGAAAATGCTAGCATATCAGGTTCAAACCTGTTAGGAATGTGAATAGTGAATTTCAAACTAGAAAAGCATTGAAAGTTATGATAAATCAGATAATGGTTACTAGGAGGATGTAATTAGTCCCAAGCAGTCAATGCCATTACAGAAAAGGAAACAAAATCTGCACTTTAATATGAAAAAGAGGAAGAGAAAAGAATTTTACTGTGTAACTTGATCTGTATGGATATGTCAGCACAGTTCTTATGGCTACGTGTATGATACACTCATAAATTTTGAGATTATTTAAATGTACTAATTTCATGTTTGGGTACCAAAAAATACCTGTCTGCTTTATTTTTTTTCTTTTTGAAAAACAAAAAAGCTCCTATTATCTTATACTATTTTACATGTACTAATTCCATGTTAATGAGTACTCTCTACTGTTGTATCAGATATGGATACCAAGTTTGAGTTATTTTTGGAAATCACTTTGGAAACTACTCAATGCTCAGCTGAAATTCTCTACATTGTTTCACCCCCAAACAGATGGTCAGACTGAGGTAGTAAATAGAAGCTTGGGAGATCTTTTATGGTGTCTAGATGGGATCTAGTGCTTCCAATAGCTGAGTTTGCCTATAACAGCTCAGTAAATAGATCCACAAGAAAAAGTCCATTTGAAGTGGTGACTGGTATTCAACCTAAGCGGCCAATTGGCATAGTTACCTTGCCACCAGATACATGTACTAGCATTGAAGTAGAAGCATTTGCTAGGCACATAAGAGAGATACATGATGTTGTTAGGAGAAAAAATGCATTGAGCAATGATTTATACAGGGCTAGAGATGATATTCATCGACAGTTGGCAAATTATCAAGAGGAAGACATGGTTATGGTTCGTATATGACCAGAGCGTCTTCCTAAAGGTGTGTACAAGAAGCTCAACTCAAAGAGTAGCAGTCCTTACAAAATCATCAAGAAGATAAGTTCTAATGCCTATGTTTTAGAGTTTCCAGATGATATGGGAATTAATCCTATCTTCAATGTTGAGGACTTGACTCCTTACCATGGACATGTGGATTCTTTTAAGACTCCTATACCTAAATTGCCAACTATTGCAGCTCCAAATGACATTCCAGAGGATGTTTTAGATGAACAAATAATATCTACTACTACAAGACAGTTTGTAGATGGTATCATTTTATTTTGTGAGGGAGGAAACCAAGTTTCTGTTTCAAATCTGCGGCAAATTATCAAATCCTTTGAATCGGTTTCCACTCTGATGATAAATTGGGGAAAGAGTTGGGTAGCAGGTTTTTGGAAGATGAAAATTTAAGAGGGATAGCCGAGACTCTTGGGTGTGAGATAAAGCAATAGCCCTTAAGTACTTAGGACTACCCTTGGGAGGGAACCCAAGATCAGAGGCCTTTTGGAAACCAATGGTGGAGAGATTCACAAAGAAGCTAGCTATGTGGAAGAGGAACTATCTTTCCATTGGTGGGAGGATAACCTTGATAAGAGCAACCTTAGCAAACCTTCCAGTTTATTTCATGTCCACCTTTAGAGTCCCGGTGAGGGTAGCAAGGGAGTTAGAGAAACTTATGGGGGACTTTCTCTGGGAGCCTGGGATGAAAAGAGAGACAACCTAGTAAAATGGGAACAAGTTTGCAAAACAAAGGAGAAAGGAGGTCTAGGGCTAGAGGGCTTGTTTAAAAGAAACACTTTGTTGCTAGGAAAATGGTTATGGAGGTTTCCTTTGGAAAGAGATGAGCTGTGGTACAAGGTTATTGAAAGCATTCATCGGCTGATAAACAATGGCTAGGATGCAAAGGTAGCTCCAACATCTACATCAACCTCTCCTTGGAAAGAAATTCAAGAGGTATATCCAACTTTATTCACCTTCATTAGATTTGATGAGGGTTGTGGTTCCAGGACTCTGTTTTGGGAAGATCTTTGGCTGGGTGACACTCCTTTCTGTTCCCATTTTCCCAGTCTTTACTCACTTTCTGACTACAAGCAGAGACATGTATCAATTCATTACCTTCTCTCATTCCGGTGTGAGTTGGGACTTTGGTTTCAGGAGAAGTTTAAGGGATAATGCGTGTGAAAGTCTTTTACGCTTGTTAGATGTTCTCAAATCAGTTTTTCTAGTTCAATCTGTAGAGGATACTACAGTATGGACCACCTCTTCTGATGGTTCCTTTTCTTGTGCTTCTTCTTTCAACTCCCTTGTGCATTTTTCAGGGGGG